CTGGAGAGCACGTGCGCCCCCACCTATGGGATAAAAAAAGAGCATGAAACCACCAAATGACTATAAAACACTTTGAGACATCCTTGACAGACATCCGCTTTTAATTGGAAGCAGTAAGTAGCGCAACAACGCAAAAGAACTAACGTGAAAAAAGGCTATCGCAAACTACTTATACAAAAGGTGTAGGGACGTTATCCATAATACAACCAAGAAAACTGTATCGTTAGTCGTTATCAAGCTTCGTAAAAGTTTGTTTGGATCAAAGAGATACTGACGTGGAAGAACAGAATAACACACAAAGTAGCAATTACTTGATTGATTTTGTAATTTATTGTTAAATAATGAAGAAAATATTTTCCATAAAAAACGTAGAAAGAGTCATGTGGTCAACACCTTACTGTCCCACACACAACTGCACAAATTTTATATTTGGAAAGAGAATCAGCCTAACGGGATTGAAAAGTAATTACAATACGATGGAAAAATTATCAGAGATACGAAGAAAATGTTCAGAATTCTTGACTGCACTTATGGGTAGAGCTTGGATTAAAACTGACGACGTAGCCGAGCATACGGCCAAAAACACACTTCCATGGCAAATTTAAACCGACGCATTCACAGCAAACAGCTCGAAAGAAAGATCAATTGAATTAAATATAGACGTAGGTTCACAATCGGGAACACATTCATGGCAAATTCCGTTCTTCCTATGCTCTCCTTCCATCTTTTCAACGCATAATGAAATCTTTTTGCACAAATACTTTAATAACATTCCGATTTCCTGCAAGCAACTGAACGACACCAACCATTACAACCCTTTCAAATAATTCCGTTTTCCCAACATGATTTTTAATTTTTGTATTCTTATCAACACAGAGGACATTAACACAAATCATTGCAAAGTAATTGAGTTTGGAATATATCCACGCACCTACACTTCAATGGACCATTAAAAATCGAATTATTCTTTCACACAACAACCCTAATCGCATTCGTTCGTTCGTCAACTTTTATGATTAGATTATTTAAATACCTCGTCAAATGACATCAATAGTAGATCCTCCTCGGCAATTAGGTCATCGAAATGGTCCAAAATATATTTATGGCTAAGATCGTGCAACCTTTTGCAGGAATGCATATCTGAAAGAGAATAAAACCTTTTACTTAAGCCAAATCTGCGAGAACTCAATCATACACTTACCAGCTAATTTCCGCACTCCAAAACAATTATTTCGGTTCAAGTTGCTTTCAAGAAATTGGATACATTCCTCTTTCACCCAAACGATCTGAAATAAGTCCGATGCAGACAATATCGCTTCGACGTTACCTTCTGTAAGCGTAATGATCCCGCTGTAGATATAGTCAACCATTGCCCTGACAGCAACTACGTCCACATCCTGCAGCTTAACAATGCCTTCCCTCCTCTCCTTCATATCAGCTATATAAGGAAATATTCAAACATATTATTGAAGTCCTATTTGGCAGTTTCCGGGAATCACTTACCGTCGAACATCGCGGTGAAGTAATCAGAGGCAATCGCGAGTGCAAGTTTATGCACGTGGATTAGTTCACCATGCACGTCCAAAGAAAAGTCAAAGAGCTGTAGGA